GCCTTCTCTTGTTGGCCGTTTGCGTGTGCACGTCAGCTCTGACGCCGCGGCTGCTCGATTACCGTCTTCACGGTTGCTTCCAACACTTCGCCAACCAATTGCCTGCTGCCATCGCCCGCGATGCTCGCTCTCACCCACTCTCTCGTTAGAGGCTGTCGCGTTCGGCATTTTTGTGGTTCCTTGAGAAACGAAGGCATCTGCTGCAACTGTCAGGCCTGCTCCTACTGCAAAGTAAAGTCTTCGGGCGGTAGCCGATCACGTCCAATTCCATGTGTCTTTCCCGCAGCTCGCTGAGTGTCACAATTCGGCAGGAAGCGACAACACCCGCTTCCACTGCCCGCCCTTCTCGCACGCGCCGGTCACAGCGCTGTAGCATTGTAAGTCTGGATCCGGGTCCGATTTCAACATCTTGCTGAACAGTTGAGCCATCTGCTGCCACTGGACGCTCAGCTGGCCCTCGACGATCCCGGCGCTACAGCTGACCGCGTCCAGCTGCAACTCGGCGCCCCACATCTCGCCGAGCAGCGACAACGCATGCTGCCACTGACCAGCCTCGAGCGTGCTTGCTAAGCGCTAGGCTGGGCCACTAGGGGGGAGACACGGCCTCCAGGACATCCGGTGCAGCCCACTGCGAGAGCGACGCCGAGAGCATGTTCAGCAACTCGGACGCATACTGCCACGACTCGCCCTGGAGAGAGCCCGTTTCAATTTCTTGCGCACCCTGTCTAGATCTCCGACGCCCCGCGCCCTCTCCGCCCCAGCGTCTCCACCCCGCACGCGCGCCACGGCTCGCCGCCTCCGCCCCAAGCAGCCAACCCCGGCCGTCATTGTTCGGCGGCCCCGCGCTCCCTCCATCCCGATGCTTCCGTACGCCCGGCACGGCACGACACGCGCCCATCCCTCGCCCCGACGAGGCGGCCTCATACCCCCCACCCCTCTCCCAGCAGCCCCTCGCCCCGCCTTCCGCTCCCGCCAGCCTACCCCGCCCCCCCCCCTCTCCCAACGGCCCCGCCCAACTTCTCCCGCGACGCCGTTGTTCCGCAGCCTCACGGTCTGCCGCAACCGCACAGCCCCCTCCCTCCCTCCCCCTTCCCCGCCCAGTTCAACGCCCCACCTCTGGCTCTACTGGGTGGGGGAACCGCATGCGAGTGCAGCCACTGGGGCATTCGGTGAAGTTCCCCATGGGGCCGCGAAGCGCTGTACTGGGTGGGGGTCCCGCATATGTGCGCAGCCACTGGGGCCTTCGGTGGAACCCCCTATAGGGCCACGAAACGCTGGATTGGGTTGGGTGGGGGAGACGCCTACCAGTGCAGCCACTGGGGCCTTCGGTGGAACCCCCTATGGCTCCACGAGGCATTGTACTGGTAGGAGTCCCGCATGCGAGTGCAGCCACTGGGGCCTTCGGTGGAGCTCCCGATGAGGCCACGAACCGCTGTACTGGGCGGGGGTCCCGCATGCGAGAGCAGCCACTGGGGCCTTCGGTGGAGCTCCCTATGGGGCCACGAAGCTCTGTAATGGGTGGGGGAAAGGCATGCGAATGCAGCCACTGGGGCCTTCGGTGGAGCTCCCGATGAGGCCACGAACCGCTGTACTGGGTGGGGGTCCCGCATGCGAGAGCAGCCACTGTTGCCCTCCCTGGAACTCCCCATGGGGCCACGAAGCTCTGTAATGGGTGGGGGAAACGCATGCGAATGCAGCCACTGGGGCCTTCGGTGGAGCTCCCGATGAGGCCACGAACCGCTGTACTGGGTGGGGGTCCCGCATGCGAGAGCAGCCACTGGGGCCTTCGGTGGAGCTCCCTATGGGGCCACGAAGCTCTGTAATGGGTGGGGGAAAGGCATGCGAATGCAGCCACTGGGGCCTTCGGTGGAGCTCCCGATGAGGCCACGAACCGCTGTACTGGGTGGGGGTCCCGCATGCGAGAGCAGCCACTGTTGCCCTCCCTGGAACTCCCCATGGGGCCACGATGCGCGGTGCTGGGTGGGGAAGACGCATACGGATGAGGGCAGAGCCAAGGAGGGGGACGAGGGAGAAGGGAGGAGGAGGAGGAGGAGGAGGAGGAGGAGGAGGAGGAGGAGGAGGAGGAGGAGGAGGTGGAGGGCGGGAGGAAGTGAGAGGCCGCACGGGGCTGTCTCCTTCAAAACGAAGACCCAACACCACAGGATGGTTTGAGGGAAAAAACGGTCCTTCTCGCATGCGCTGATTCCAGCACTGTAGCTGACGGCGTTCGGCTCGAGCTTTGCTTTCCGCAATTCGCCCAACTGCGATAGCGCCTGCTGCCATTGCCCATCCCTTTCGCACGCGCTTATACCAGCGCTGAAGCTGATCACATCTGGTGCCAACTCTTCTCGTCGCATCTCGTTGAGCAGCGACAGTGCAAACCGCCACTGCCCGCCTTTTTCACACGCGCTGATCCCAGCGTTGTAGCTGATCGCGTTCGGCTCCAGCTTTGCTTCACGCTGCTCTCGTAGCAACGACAGCGCCTGCTGCCAATGCCCGCCTATCTCGCACGCGCTGATCCCGGCACTATAGCTGACTAGGGCGAACCCGTGGACTTCGTCCACGTCATCTTAGGCCAGTCTTGGTTCGAAAAGGCTGTCTTGGGCCTGTCTTCGCTCGAAATGGCAAGAAGGTGGAAATCTTTCAGAAACCATAAAAAGAATCAATGAATTCGTTTACCGCGGCTCGTCTGGAGCGTCTTCGAGCGGTCTTGGGCCGTCTCGGAGGCCCTCTTGGACCGCTTCCTTCTCTTCGTCCGCCTTCCGCTCTACCTCCGCCTAGACAGCCTACGGAGCGTCACAGACGGCTATGGTGGGTCTGCGGTGTACGTCTCGCCGCTTGTCAATTTTGAAAGCACCAGGGGCCTTGAAAAAAGTCACCCGGAGGGCTCTGGTGACTTTTTTCTGGTTGCCTCTTCGAAGCCTGATGGCGGGCGCTGCCGTCTCCTTGGGAACGCTTAGTGGGCCTCTCGGGGTTTCTTTTCGAGCTCCTGGGGCCTGTTGGGGCCTCGTTGGCTGTCTTGCAGCCTCCGAGGGGCCTCCTGGGGCCCTCTTGGGCCGTCTTGCGGCCTCCTGGGGGCCTTTTCTCTTGAAGTTTTTTGGGGCGCCTCCAGGGCCGTTCCCGGGCTGTCCCCCCCGAGCCTCTTCCGGGGAACAGCCCAGGAAATCTATTGTGCTTGCGTGCTGTGCCTGCGTGCTCCTGTGTGAGAGGTCGGAAGGGTGTCCCGACGTCACCGCTCGCTCTTGGGAGCTATGCCTGGGAGAGCTCTCTACGCTGCGTCTCGCTCTTGGGAGCCTTGGTGAGAAGAGCTTTGTACTTCACCGATCGCTCTTTTGGTGGGCGTCTCTGGGCCTGCTTGGTGGTCCTTGTGGGGGTCTTTTTCGGGCCATTCTGAAGTTTTTTTGGCTGCTCTGGGAGCGTTTTGGGACGTTTTGGGACGTTTTTGGGCCATCACGGGGCGTCTGGGAGGCTGGACCGTCTTGGAGCTCACTTGAGGCTGCCTGGGGCCGTCTTGGGAGCCTCTTGGAGCCCTCTCGGAGCTCTCTTGGGGCCGTCTTGGGGTTCTGTGAGGCCGTTTCAGGGCTCTCTGGCGTCGTCTTGGGGCTCTTGTGGGCCGTCTTGGAGCCCTCTTGCCGCTGGCGTCTTCTTGGGGCGATTTGGAAGGCCTGTTGGCGTGTCCTGGGCCGCTGAGGAGCACACAAGGCGGGCATGCTGAAAATATACGTTTTCATATCGGAATTTGACGATTTGTGCCTCTTTGGCGTGCGCTCGGGACACCCTTGGGGCGTCTTTGCGGCCTCTTGGATCGTCGTGGAGCCCTCCCCGGAAGGCTTCGGGCCCTCGTGGGCCGTCTCGGGACCCACTGAGGCCGTCTTGGAGCGCTCTTGGACGGTCTGGGAACCCCTGTGGAGCGCCTCTGGGACTGGCCTGAGCGATTCGGCCCCCGTGGTGGCGCCGTGAAGGGGCGATTTTGTGCACACGAGGCTCTGAGACATTCTCGTACGCGCTTCCACTGGCCATGTAGGAGAGACTAGTTTGTGTGGACCCGTGGACTGAGAACCCACACGGGCTAGCAGCCGAGCGTGCTTACATTGCGTATATGTATGTATGTATATATATATATATATAGTGAAATTTAAGTGGTCTCATAGACTCGGACTCTGCGCTGATCGTGTTGTTCCCATGGGCTTGGTAACTCTGCGCAGACTACGAGAGCTCTGCACATCTCGGGACTGTGTGTCGCCCTCGGCGCCATCTCGGAGCCTGCCGGGGGCCCGCGCCAGGAACATTCGGGCTCTCTTGGGACCCTCATGGGCCTCCTGGGGCTGCCTGGGCTTCATTTGGGGTTTCTGGGTGGTCACTCGGGGCGTCTGGGTCGCCATGTTGGGTGCGTGGGGATAGTCTCAGGAGCTCTCGGGACTATGTTGGGGCAACTGTGGACTGTCGTTGGGCCCACCTGGGGCTGGCTTGGAGGCCTGGCAGGGCAATCCTGGGCCATCTTGGGGGCGTCTGGGGCATCCTTGTAGCGTCTTAGGGCCTCGTCGGCGCTGTCAGGAGCCTATGGGATAAATCGGGATACGCTCTTGCGAGGGAAGACATAGAGAAAACAATGAGTCGTGATAGACACACCTTTCGGCTTTCCGCGTTTTCGGATTTCGTGCAGGGTCTTCGCGGCTCCTCTTCGAGCTTTCTGGAGCTCTCGGGAGGCCATCTTCAGTGCCTGGGAGCTGTCTTGGAAACCTCTCCGTCTGAGGGCACCTCGGTGGGCCATCTGGAGGCCCCTCCGTGCGTGGGCGGTGGGCGACGGGCGGTGGGCCGTCCGTCTGTGGCCGGATGGGCCATCTGGAAGCCTATCCGACTGAGGGCGGTGGGCCATCTTGAAGCCCCTCCGTCTGAGGGCGCTCCAAAGTGTGTCTCGTCGAGAACTCTTCGGTGCCTTCGGGTCCCCAAAAAGCTAGGTCTGTGAGTCGGCCGGGCCGATTTGGTCCCATCAAGGCTGGAAGTACTGCTCGCCTCCGTCGTACGCGCTGCGCCAGGGATAGTAGAAGAGATAACGTTCGGCTGCAGCTTGACTTGCCGTGCCTCAGCGAGCATTGACAACGCCTTCTGCCACTGGCCACCCTTCTCGCATGCGCTTACTCCAACACTATAGCTGACCACATCTGGGTCCAACTGGTCTTCCTTCATTTTGCAGAGGAGCCACAACGCGCGCTGCCACTGCCCGCCCTTCTCACAAGCGTCGATGCTAGCACTGTAGCCGATCTCATCCACATGCGACTTCGCCTCGGACAGCTCGCTGAACAGCGACAGCGCCTGCTGCCATTGCCTGCCTTTTCCGCACGCGCTGATCCCAGCGCTGTAGTTGACCACGGTTGCCCGCTGGACTGCTGTCCCCCTCCCACGCACAGGAGCAGGAAGGAGCCTGCGGGAGGAGGAGGAGGAGGCGGAGGAGGAGGAGGGAGGAGGAGGAGGAGGAGGAGGAGGAGGAGGCAGAAGGAGTAGGAGGAGAAGCGGGGACCGAACTGACAGACTGCTGCCCAGACTCTCGCGCGCACGCTCGGGCCGGCGGAGCGGCGAGATCTCGTTGGGCTCCAGCCTCTCCCCCCGCGCCTCGCGGAGCAGCCACAGCGCCTGCTGCCACTGCCCGCCCTTCGCGCACGCGCTGATCGCGGCCCCGCAGCCGCAGACGTCGGGTCGCAGCCTCGCCTCCCGCAGGCCGCGGAGCAGCCACAGGGCCCTCTGCCACTGCCCGCCCTTCTCGCAGGCGGCGGCTCCAGCGTTGTAGCTGATCTGGTCCAGCCTCAGCCTGGACTCGCGGAGCTCGCCGAGCAGCCACAGCGCCTGCTGCCACTGCCCACCCTTCTCGCAGGCGCTGACCCCCGCGTTGTAGCACGTCGTGTCCAGCTCGAGGGCGCTCGCCCGCAGCTCGCCGAACAGGGACAGCGCTTGCTGCCATTCGCCGCTCTTTTCGCAAGCGCTGATTCCAGCACTGTAGCTGATCGCATTCGACTCCAGCCGGGCTTCCTGCAACTCTCTGAGCACCGACAGCGCCTGCTGCCACTGTCCGCACTTTTCGCACGCACTGACTGCAGCGCCGAGGATGACCTCAGGGGCGGCCAAAATGCCCCTACCTGTGACGACTCCCTTCCGTTACGATGCCCCTTCCCTCCTCCCGCCAGGATCAACGCGTATGGCCAAGAAGGAGGGGGGCCTGGGTGGTGAGCGGAAGAAGTCGGTCCGCATGCGTGTGCGTGTGGAATCATGTAGCGTATTCCAGACACCCCGAATCCCCAAACAATTCAATCTAGTCGGGAATGGTTTTTGACTTCCGCCGGCCTTCCGCCGGCGGCGGCGCCCTCGCTGCAATCCCGCCAGCATTCGACAAGGCGGAGGCGTCAACTTCTCGATCCCTCGAAGGCAGGGCCCTTCCTCGAGCCCGCCATGTGTGTGTGTGTGTGTGTGAGTGTGCGTGTGTGCGTGTGTGTGTGTGTGTGCGCGCGCCCGTGTTATCTGCCGTCTTGCGCTGAACCCGGCCCTGTCCCTCGACACCACGATCGCCGGTCTCCTGGGGGATCCTGTCCTCGTCGCTTGCTTTCCTACGCGCTCGCTCCAACCATGGACCTGCTGTTACCCATGTGTCGCAGAGCGCGCAGATGCAGAGCAACATGTGTGTGTGGTTCGAAAAAAGATCAAATGGCATAACCAGAAACTTTTGACGCTCCGCGCGGATTTCTTAGACCTACGCTGGGCCCCCCTCCCTGGCGCGCGGAGCGCGCCAGGGGCAGCGCCGGAGGCGCCGTCGGGGAGGGCCCAAGGCGCCGATCCAAGAAATCCGCGCGGAACGCCACAAGCTTATGCGTGTACTGTTTTCTTTGTTTCTTCGAGCGTGTGGGTGTGTGAAGATGTGCTACCTCAGGCGGGTGGCGTCGACGTCCCACCCCGCCGCACTGCTCCATTATCGGGGAGACGTAAGACTCGGGTGCGGGGGACTCGGGTTGGCCCGACGGGGCCGAGCCCCCGCTGCAAGCATCCCACGGCGACCGGACCGTCAAGATCCAAGACGCGCTCGTCAAGAAGCGTCGGCAAACCCGAGATCCGGCGTGCTCGAGCCTTACGTTTCCCCGACACCAAGATGCAACGCCGGCCATGACGCGACCCCAAAGGTCTGGACCCGTTCCCCAGGACCGGTTTTTTTCGTCCCGGGTCGTTTGCGCGACTGTGTCACGCGACTGTCTGCAGCACTGCGTCCTAGGGGGGAGACTCCACGTGCTCGAGACAGGCGCCCAAAAGCAGCCAAGATCTCCTCCATGGGGGGGGGGGGGAAACGGGGGGTGCGAGGGCCCGCGCCGATCGGCAAAACCATGAATGAGAAACCGATCACCAGTGTGTGTGTGTGTGTGTGTGTGTGTGTGTGTCTGTGTGTCTGTGTGCCCGATGCAGGTAGGTTTGCATCCTAAGCGATGCTCGAGGGCCTGGCCTTCGCGCGCACTGCTGCGCACTGCTGCGCCTTCTCCGCCTCGTCGCTGCGCGCGAGGCCGCTGCCGCCAAAACGTGTGGATCTGTGTGTGTGGGCTAAGGGAGCCACCTCGCCGGAGCAGTCCCTCTGCCCAGCCGCCGACGCAAAACGTGTGTGCGCGAATGCGTGCGAATGTGTGTGAATGTGTGTGAATGTGTGTGTGTGTGAATGTGTGTGTGTGTGTGTGTGTGTGTGTGCGTGTGTGTATATATATATATATATGTGTGTGTGTGTGCTTGATCCCCGTGCACGCCCGCCGCTCTCTGGCCCCCCCCCCCGAGGGGGGCCCTCGCCCCGCCCGCCCGCCCGCCCAGGCGCCGCCTCCCGCCCGCGCAGCCGCGCCGAGCTCCGGCTCTTGTGGCGGTGGCGCTGCCGGCCGCCGGAGGGCACCGGGGGCGCGTCGCGCTTCTGCCGCGGCGGCTGCGCGCAGTCTCGGGTCGTGCACTGCCATTCCCTGTGTGTCTTTTTCGGCCTCGTGCGTGGTTTTCTCGGCAAGCGGTCCAGGATGCTCCTCGATGGTCCTCGCCGAGGAAAAAACGCACACGTCCGAGCGATGCCAGGGCATGGGGGAACAAGAAGTGGCATGAGCATAAAAACTCGGAGGTCCGCGCGGATTTCTCGGATCGGCGCTGGGGACCCCCGGCGGCGCCTCCGGCGCCGCCCCTGGCGCGCTCCGCGCGCCAGGGAGGGGGGTCCAGCGCCGATCCGAGACATCCGCGCGGACCTCCGAGCTTTTATGTTCATGCCACTTTTCGTTCCCCTAGTGCAGGCCTGCCGCGTCGCTCCGCAAGGGGACTGCCTCGTGGCACAGTGGGACCTGGGCCAGAAGAGCACCCATCCTTCCAGAGCGTGAGGCCCGTCTGCCGGCCGAAAGGAGCAGACCATCTGAGGGTACTCTCCCGAGGATGCCCAGGAGCATCCGACAGGCACGCAGAACACGGGAGCACCCGCCCCGAACCGACATCGGTCTTACGCCTCGGTCCGACGGTACCTCGTGGTAGCCGTGTCCCGTTACCATGCGCTCGTCGCGTGGCGTGAGCGGCGCCACGGAGGGACACGTCGTCGTGGCGCGGCCGTCGTCGTGGCGAGGGGCAGCGCCGCGCGCCCTGCGCGCGCCAGAGGGCGGAGGTGTGCGGGGCTCGCGCCTCGTGGGCGTCAGCGGCCCCGGACCAACGTGGGCCGCGGGCTGCGAGGAGCCCTGGCCTAGAGCTCCTGCCTCTCCTTCCCTAGGGAGGCCTCCTAGCTGGGGTCGGAGCGCCAGGGGTCGGAGGACCGCGCCGCAGCGCCGAGACGTTGGCGATGTATCGGCGATGCATCGGCGATGCCACGTCGACATCGGCGCGACGTCGGCGTGGGTGTGGCGGTGGCTCAACCAGGCTCGCCTGGGTGAACACCTCACGCCTCGCTCTGGGCCTTTGCCTGCTCGCCGCCCCCGCCTCCTCTTGGCCCGCTCGCGTCCGTGCCGTCTCCGGGGCCGCTCTGCCAGGCTCTTGCCTGGGCAGAGACACCCTCTTTCTGGCCCTGGGCCGTCTTCTGGTGCCCGCGGCGTGTGTGCCTGGCCTCATGTGGTCCTGCATGCTCTCTGACCCCTTGCGCGCCCGCCGCTTGCGGCTTTGCGCACTCCGGCTGCTGCGCTGCACGCGCGCTGCCCCCACTGCGGTCGATGCGCCCACCTGCAACGCCGGCCACATTTCTCGCTACTGTGTGTCACGCCGCCGACGGAGGAACGAACGGGGCGTGAGTGAGGCCCTCCCCTTGGGACCACGCTGGGCTCCAGCCGTGTTTCCCGCAGCCCGCTGAGCAGGAGCAGCGCTCGCTGCCACTGCTCCCCCTTCTCGCACGCGCTGATGCCAGCACCGTAGCAATACACATTCGGCTCCGAGGTCGCCTCCTGCAGCTCCCAGAGCAACGATATGGGCGATGACAGCTGCGCGCCGACGCCGATCTGGGCCAGGCCAATCCTGGGCCCAAGAACTGTGTATGCGCATTCCTGGCCCAGCCAGGACGGCGTATACACCAAGGTCGGGCCCATGATGGGCCTGGCCAAATCAGGTGTCCGTGTATGCATGTCGTCGTCCGAGATAGAGCTTGCTGCCATTGACTACCCTTCCCGCAGGCGCTCATTCCAGCACTGTGGCTGATCGCGTTCGGCTGCAGACCTCCCTCGTGCATCTCGCGCAACAGCTGCAGCGCCAACCGCCACTGCTGGCCCCTATCGCACGCACTGATTGCCGCGCTGTAGCTGATCGCGGTCGGCTTCAACCCTGCTACCTGCATCCCGCCCAACAGCGACAATGCCTGCTGCCACTGCCCGCCCTTTCCGCACGCATGGATGCCAGCATTGTAGCTGACCGCGTCCAACTTGGCCTCTTCTTCTGACATGCTGCTGAGTAGCGACAGCGCCTGCTGCCACTGCTCGCTTTTCCCTATCGCCGTAAGAGCAACATTGATGCATATAGTGTCGAATCTCGTGCGCAACCTCGGTACGTCTTGAAATAGTTGTAGCGCAACAGTCCACTGCTTTGCGTTTCCAACTCTCTGGATTTGAGCGACAGCCCTGTCCCTCTCTGGAGATGTGAGCCATGTGCTGGCCGGGCTGCAGGAGGCTTTGGCATCCTGTCCTGGGCACCGCCGGCCAGGAGTTAGCATGAGCCATACGCCCCTCAGGCCAGAGCTCCTCACAACGACGACACGACACGACTCACATAACCACTGGAGGAGGAGGAGGAGGAGGAGGAGGAGGAGGAGGGGGATGAGGAGGAGGAGGAGGAGGAGGAGGAGGAGGAGGAGGAGGAGGAGGAGGAGGAGGAGGAGGAGGAGGTCGTGGCATCCGCAGCCCTACGAGGGCCCCACGCTCCACGAGGGCCGCAGAGGCGGGCCAGGCGGCAGAACCGCCGCGCCGTGCGCGCACACCCTGCGCGCCCTCCTGTGCGGCCTCGCGACATCACGAGCGAGGCACTGCTGCATGCACGCCCGGCCAGACCGGGAGGCACGGCGCCCCCCCTCGCCCTCCTCCCCTGGCCAGTCCCTACTTCTAGCACTGCTGCTCCTTGCCCCCGGCCGTCGCGTCCTGCCTGGCGGCCCTGCTCCTGCGGCGTGGGCCTCGCCGCCGCTTCTCGCCCGCGCGCGCCACTTCGCCGGCGCAGGTCGGCGGGCGCGCTGCAGGGCGCCGCTCAGGTGTCGCCTCCTCCTTCGGGCGGGGCTGGGAGAGGGGCATCCGGTGGGGGGGGTCCAGATAAAGGATCCACTGGACGCCGTCTCCATCCCTCTCGGCTCCTCCCTCCTCTTCGTCACCATCCTCGTGGTTGTCGTCAGCATCGTCGTTCGCCCCTATGGTCGTCGTCGTCTCTGCTAACGTGAGCCAGGCGGGTGGGGGTGCTGATATGGTGGGGCTACTGCGGAGAATTCAAAAGAGGAGCCCTTGGTTGAGGAGTCCAGCGCCTCGCAGCTCCGCTGGATACCGCGGGCTTGCATGGCGAGGGCGCGATTGCCTAAACCACGCGGTGGGCGCGCTGGCGGCAGGGTTGCAACGGGAACGTCGGCAGAGAACCCCCTGGAGTGAGCTCAAGGCTTCGTGGCTCCGAAGGATGACCCGGCGCTCTCCCCCGAAGCGTGTTGTTTGTACTCCGACGTTCTCACTCGTCCTTGTGCGACTGCATGGCGTTTCAGGATCTCCGCGCAGCGCGCGCTCGCCGCCGCTCCGGGGTGCTCGCTGGCCCGCCCGGGCTTCTGCGTGGTGAGCGCCCGTTCGCCGCCTCGTCGCCGCCCCCGTGCGCTGGCTGGTCTTTCCGGGGTTTTTTGCCCGCTGGGCGCCCTTGTCGCCGCCCTGAGACAGCACCGCCTACACGATCCCGGGTCGAGGGTTCACAGGCCCCCACCCCTCTCAGATGGGATGGGCCCCAGGGTTCCACAGCCCCCACCCCCACTGCCCCCAGATGGGATGGGGGGGGGACGCCGACGCCGACGCAAACGCCAACGCTGCCGAAGACGACCACGACGACGTCGACGACGAAGACGATGACGACACACGACGGACGTCGACGACGACGAACCACCCCACACCCACAGAGAGAGGGCGGAGTGTGCTCCGGCACCCTCCACCACGCCACGCCACAGGGCCACGACTACAGGGTGGGGGGGAACGATCCCATTCGCGAGGCTCACAAGCGTACCCATCCAGCGGGGGGTGGCTCGATCCCATATGAATTGGGGGGGAGGGGGGGGCAACCCTGGATCGTATCTTGCGCAACTTAGCTTGCACCCCGTATGTTGAACCACAGATAGTGTCGGTTCTAAAGGCATGTTGAAGTCTACCGCCATGCCGATGCCAGTCTTAGCGCGTCACCTCCGCGCATTTGCGTGCCATACCTCTTCTGCACGGCCGCTCATCCACAGCATGAGCTCATACCATCCCAGGAAGTCCCGATATTCCCCCCATTCCAGTCACATGAGACTGTGCGAATCACTACCTTCAAACGAATTCGTACAGACTCATACGTACCAGATGGGCCATACGCGCAAGTGAGCTCTACGCGCATGCCGAAATCTTTCAGCAACCATCGCGCACCCACCAAATCTGTCAAACAAATCATCCAGGCCGCACGCGTGTGTGTTCGTGCGAGCATGTCGCAATCATTGCAAACCCATCGGGCTCAGTCAATTCAAAAAGTAAGTGTTCCAATGCGCATGAAAAACAGCAAGTGTTTTTTGCAATGGTAGTCGGTCGTTCATGCGCGCGCACACTTCGTCGGCTTCCTCACCACCACCGTCATCATCATCGCAAGCGTCATCATTGTCATCGTCCATGCCATCACCATCATCTTCATCACCATCACTACCGTCGTAGTCATCACACTCACCATCCATCATCACCATCAACATCGTCGCTATGGTCATACTCTTTATCGTCGCCATGGTCGTCGCTATCATTTTCACTCCCCCGTGACTCGACCTGCGTGGTGAGGGTTCTCGCGCCACTGCACGAGTTGAGTGTTGTCAAGAAGTTGCGGATGGGTGAGTGGGATGTCCGATCGAACATTGGAGCTGGCGGCTCCAAGGTGAGTTTGTACCACGTATATTACAAAACAATATTTCAGGTCGTGTGTGTGTGTGCTCACACTTCCTCAACATCCCTATCACCACCACCGTCATCATCAACGCCAGCGTCATCATGGATATTGTCATCACCACCATCATCTTCATCACCAGCGTCATCATCACCATCATCATCATCATCGTCATCATCATCATCATCATCATCACCACTATCGTCAACGTCGCTATCGTAATCGACATTACCATCGCCCTCGCCATCATCGCCAACACAACCACCATCATCATTATCACAATCATCGTCACAATCATCACCATCATCACCACCATCATCAACAACACCAACATCATCATCACCATCACCATCATCATCAGCATCATCATCGTAAACACCATCACCATTATCATCACCATCACCATCACCATCACCATCACCATCACCATCACCATCACCATCACCATCACCATCACCATCACCACCATCATCACCATCACCATCACCATCATCATCACCATCAGCATCATCATCACCGTCATCATCATCATCATCATCATCAGCATCATCATCATCATCATCATCATCATCATCATCGTCATCACCATCACTATAATCAGCATCGTGGTCGTCGCCATCACCATCACATAATCAACATCGTCGTCGTCGGCGGCGCAGCCGATGTCGTCGTCACCATCATCGTTCGCGCGTCCGGACATGCACGAGCAAGGTCCGCGCGTCCAGTCTTTTCTTCCTGGCAATCGAACACGAGTTCTGATGGGGACGGCCTCCAGAGTTTCCCCAAGGAGTTGCGGGTGGGTGGGTGGGATATCTGCTTGAACATGGGAGGTGGTCGCGCGCAGATGCTGACAGTTGGCTCTCGCTTCAAGAGGAGAGCAGACTCTACAAACCCACCCAGGTCTGAGGTCAAGGGTTCCCCCTGGGGTAGAGCAGCTTGCAAATGCGTGCGCCTCACCGTTTAACTTCCGCGTTGGAGTTCTCCGCCGCCGTGCCTCCGGCACGAAGTGGAGTGCCCCAAGGCTCCTGCAGCGCTGCTGCAGCCAGAACGGGGCGCGGACCAGTCGTTTCCCAAGCCGTCTTGGGCCGTCTCGGGTACAGTCATCGGCCTGACCTAAGGAACGATCAATAAGGAACGAAGGCCCTTTTTATCCCAAGGAATAATGCATAAGGAACGACAAAAAACAGATAACGCATAAGGAACTGTAAATAATGCATGTAAAACCTAAGGGACGACCGAGCCCCTTTTGAAAAGTAAGTGTTCCTTATTCAAGCCGCTCACTGTTTTTTCCCTGGCCGGCCCCCGAAAGTTCTGGGGTGCTTCCTGCGGGTTCTCTGGACGCTGTGACCGCCCAGAGCGGTCGACGAGAGGCCACGACTCGTCGAAAAACATCGCTCAAAGATGCTGTCTCGATGGCCTCCAGACGGCCCAAGACGCCTCCAAGACGCCCAAAGAGGCCTCCAAGAGACATCCCAAGAGGGCCCCAAGAGGCCAGACTCATTGATTCTCCGTGGGTTTTTGAATGACTTTGTCGTTCTGGCCTTTTTGGCTTCCCGACGCCCCCAGACGGCCCTAGACGCCCCCAAGACCACCCCAAGACGGCCCAAGAGGCCTCCAAGAGAGCACCAACACGGCCCAAGAGGGCCGCAAGACGGTCCCATAAAGGGGCTCAAAAGAGGGAGCACGAACCGAAAATCCGAGCCTTCCGCCTCGCCTCAGGAGGCCCCCAGGAAGCCCCGAAAGGCGCCCAGGAGGCCCCAAGAGGCCCAAAGAGGCCCCAAACACAAGCGACGCTAAGAGGCTTCAAGAGGCGCCCCAACTGCCTTCAAGAGGCCCCGAGGAACCTTCCACGAGATTCCAACGAACATCCAATAGGCTTCGCACCCACAACCCAAGCACGGTGGCGGGATGGGCCGAAGGCCATCCGATACTATCCCATCCAAGCTTGTGCCCCCCCTTCTTGTCAAATAAGTGGTAGCCAAAGCCCAGTATCCCCAAACACATTTTTTTGAGCCAAGGTGGCTCTTAATAGTGTTCGCGCGTGCTTCTGCTTGTGATCCGCCTGCGCCTGTGGCGTCATCGTCTAGCTTTGCTTGATCGTCGTCGTCGTCCCTCCCACCAGAATCCATGTCATTATCCGCCTCGCCCTCTCCTCCCCCCTTCCACTGCACTTCCTAATCCTCCTCCTCCCCTCCACTACACTCCACTTCCCCCTTCCCCCCGCTCCTCCTCCACCTCCTCCTCCTCCTCCTCCTCCTCCTCCTCCCCATCATCATCATCATCATCATCATCATCATCATCATCATCATCATCATCATCATGATCATGATCATCATCATCATCATCATCATCATCATCAGCATCATCATTATCATCACCACCACCACCATCATCATCATCATCATCATCATCACCATCACCATCATCAGCACTATCATCATCCTGATCCTCCTGGTCCTCCTCCCCCTCATCCTTCTCCTCCGCTTCCTCCGCTTCCTCCTCCTCCTCCTCCTCCTCCTCCTCCTCTTGCTCCTCCCCTTCATCTTCCTCCTCCTCCGCCTCCTCCTCCTCCTCCTCCTCCTCTTCCTCCTCCTCCCCCCTCCTCCTCCTCCTCCTCCTCATCTCACTTCTCTTCGAAACCCATCTCGTTCGAAATCCTCCTCATGCTCCTGATCAGATTCCTTCTCGTTGTGTTCTTCTTCCTCCTCCTCCTCCTCCTCCTCCTCCTCCTCCTCCTCCTCCTCTTCACTCTCTACCTCGTTACCGGCCCTCTCCGTGTATTTCTCCTCCTGCTCCTCATCCTGCTCGCCGTGCTCCTCCTTGTATTTCTCGTACTCCTCGTGTTCCTCGTCCTCCTCCGCTTCGCAATGTTCCTCCTTCTCATCCCTCTCCTCTCATCCGCCTCTTCCTCCTCGGAATGCTCCTTCTCATCCTCGTCCTCGCATTCCGCCTCTTCCTCCTGCTCCTCCTCCTCCTCCTCCTCTTCCTCCTCTCCCTCCTCCTCGTCCACTTCGTCCTCTCCCTCCTCCTCCTCTTCCTCCTCCTCCTCCTCCTCTTCCTTCTCCTCCTTTTCCTCCTTTTCCTGCTGCTCCTCCTCCACGTCCTCCCCCTTCTCCTCCTCGTC